CAGGGTTTCACCATGTTAGCCAAGATGGTCTAGATCTCCTGACCTCGTGATCCACCCACCTCGACCTCCCAAAGTGCTGGGATTACAGGCGTGAGCCACCACACCCGGTCCTCCACATCTCTTCCTATAATGATACCAGTCATATTGGATTGGGGTCCACCCTAATGACTTTATTTTAAATTTGTTACCTATTGAAAAGCCCTATCTCCAAACACCATCACATTCTTAGGTACTGGGGATTCGGACTCTAACCTGTGAATTTTGGGGTACATAACTCAACTGGATTTAATTTCCTTTTGCTACAGTCATCACCCCCAGGACCATCTGCTACTGATGTACGTTCTGTGCAGCACATTCATGTCAGTAGTCTCAATTTTTCTGTTTCATTTGTTGAGGGTGAAATTTGGTCATATGATTGGAACACCAGTTTGTGAGTAAAGAATAACGTGTATTTACAAATCATGATATTGATTATATTGTACATTTAACAAAATTCTAAAGTAGAATTCCAAAAATTTGTCTGGATGATGACAGTTCATTTTAAATAGGTACACAGCTTCTGGGAGCGGTAGTTAGTATTGTTGAGTAGTTAGGAGAGCAGATAGTTAGACTGCCTGGGTTACCATTTAATCTCCCATAATTACCAACTGGTTACCCCTGGGAAAGTTACTTAAATCTCTCTTAGTCTCTTTGATTAAATTTTCTTGTCTTACAATGTAGATAATTGTAGTTTCTACTTCATAGAGTTATAATAAGAATTTAAAATGCTCATCTGCATAAAGAATTTGGGAGAGTGTCTGGTACATAGTAAGTGTTCAATAAATGTTGGACTCTGTTATTTCCGGGGCAGCCACTTGGAATGAAGATACTGATTTGGGTAAATTAGGTCTGGTGTGTTTCTGAAAACATATTTGCTAATTTGTGTGGACAAATTATGTGTTTCTAGGATAAGGCATAATTTCATCTGAGAAGATAGTTCATACTTGTTATGAATAATATGCAAGTTTTTTAAAAAGTGGGGATTGGTTATACTCATTTAAAGTACACGGAATTCTTGCTTATCAACATTGAACTGGTCTTATTTTCTGGTTTTCGGTTTGTATTCCTGCTCCTGGAATTATGGTTTGGGGACCACAGTGTGATGGCAGCAGCAATGTGTGTGTGTGTGGGGGGGGCTAAAGTGACATCTTTGTACACTAGGCCAGACACCCCTCTTCAATAAAAGCAGATTCCCTGTTATCTTTATTATATTTTATAATGCTGTGTAAACTTTGGTTTGAGAGAATTCTTCTATTATAAATAGCCTGTAACCCACTAGCATAGTATATAGATTACTCATATCGTCTGCTCCCCCACAATTGCTTTTATTCTGTATATACCTCAGGGATACAACTCATGTTAATAGTAGCCTGAGCAAAACATAATTGGGAAGGTAAATCTGTTGCAAAAAGGAATATAGCATAAATTAAATATAAATCAAATTAAATATAAAACAATGCATTTAATTATCTGCACCACTGCCTCCTTCCTCTAACATGATATCTAAGAGGAGACTAATTTTCTTTCTGGGATAGGGCCAGATCTGAGCCCAGACCAGTGAACTGTGTCAACCCCTGGAAAGACGGTGCTTGACCTACTTTTTATGTGATATGTTGGGCATTAGCTAACAGCACAGCCGTTTTGGTCAGCTAAAATTTCAGTATCAGTAAGAGGATCTGCTACTCATCTGAATTGTGAATGCATGAGCTAGTCTGTGTGTGTGGTTGGGAACATCTACTTATAATACACTATTAAATGCTCACATAGGTTCAATGATGTGGTGAACCATTTGTTAAAAATGTATTTGTTGAATAGACTCTCACGAGCTCAGCAAGGGAAAGTACATTTCTGCCCAAGGAAGGTTTTCAGTTTGGACAGCAGGCATTAGCCGTCCAAAGCTGGTGCTGCTATTAGAATCAGAGGAAGAAGCAGACCGGGTCCACGTTGAATGCCCTCTGTACTTCTCTCCCCACCACCCTAAGTGGTTTCATCTGCCCCAATCTCCGTGTCTGTGTGACACTCTGACTTACGTTCTCTCAAAAGATCCAGTCCCCAGCCAGCCAGAGTCTAGAATTCTCCAGGCAGGCTTCCAAAGGTTGTTTTCCTCTGTTCCCACTGAGTACACTAATTTTTGTCAGATGGCAACTCCTGCATTCTGAAGAGTCTGGTGTCACATGCTCCACCTCTGTCAACCCTCACTTCCTCCTTTTGGGCTGATCTCAGCTGGACTGGAAAACCCTCCTCTGTTGAAAGTAGGTCTCAAGTGGTAATGACTGATTAGTATGGACCCGCACCAGTTCCCAGGTGTTTACAATTGAAACGAGTTTGCTTATACTCAGAAATGACAAATTGGTGGATGTGATAACATCAAAAAATTGTTCTTACGGTTGAAGAACAAACAAACAAAAATCAGCAAATTGGCAGCTTAGCTCTAATACTTGGCAGCCCCTGGTATAAGATTTCCTGACACCCTGCACCCCCTCCCCACACATACCCCCAAAACCTTGACCTTTCCTTTTGCAGGTCATCATTTAATCAAGTAATCACTCCTCTTCTGGCATCTGTTACATTTTCTGGCATATCTAGCAGCAATAAGTGGTTGTGGGCAGGAACCATGTCTTCATGCTCTAAGTCCCTAACTTGCTGGGTGCCCAGCAGATAGATATTTGAAGAATGGATGAGTTCATGAATGCATGAAAGAATGGAAAACTCTAGAATGGATGTTCTCACTGCTCTGAGCATCCACGTAATCCAGTCCTGTTCCTCCCTCCCCTTTCTGACCCGTATCACTCTGCGGGGCCCGTGTGCCCCCGACTGGCTTACACTGCTGAAGGGTCCTGCCTGGCTTTGTCACATTCAGACTTTCTTCCTCCAAATCATCTCTCATAGTGCCACCCAATTAGTTTTCTAAAAAATGAAAACATTTTTTTCATGTTGGTCTCTTGCTAAAAAATGGAATGATTTCTTATTGCTTGAGGGATAAAACTCAAAACTCCTTAGTCTGTCATTTAATACTGACTAAAGCTTGCCCTTGGTATTTCTTTTTTTTTTTTTTTTTTTTTTTTTGAGAAGGAGTCTCGCTCTGTCGCCCAGGCTGGAGTGCAGTGGCCGGATCTCAGCTCACTGCAAGCTCCGCCTCCTGGATTCACGCCATTCTCCTGCCTCAGCCTCCCGAGTAGCTGGGACTACAGGTGCCCGCCACCTCGCCCGGCTAGTTTTTTTGTATTTTTTTAGTAGAGACGGGGTTTCACCATGTTAACCAGGATGGTCTTGATCTCCTGACCTCGTGATCCGCCCGTCTCACCCTCCCAAAGTGCTGGGATTACAGGCTTGAGCCACTGCGCCTGGCCGATATTTCTTTAAAATTATTTTAATTGTAAATATTTTAAACATATTTAAAAATACAACACTCATTTACTCACCATTACAATTAAACAGATAGTAGAATGTACTCCATATTTACTTTGATTTTCTTTCCCTAACTAAATAAATTTATTTTCTTTTATTTTTTAGAGATGGAGTTTCACTCTGTCACCCAGGCTGGAGTGCAGTGGCATGATCTCGGCTCATACCAAGCAATTCTCCTGGGTTCAAGCAATTCTCCTGCCTCAGCCTCCCAAGTAACTGGGACTACAGGTGCATGCCACCACGCCTGGCTAATTTTTGTATTTTAGTAGAGATGGGGTTTCACCATATTGGCCAGGCTGGTCTCGAGCTCCTGACCACAGGTGATCCCCCTACCTCGGCCTCCCAAAGTGCTGGGATTACAGGCGTGAGCCACTGCGCCCGGCCCCTAACTAAATAAATAAGCAAACATTGTAGATACAGATAGGCCCCACTCCATCCTTCCCTCTCCTTTCCTACCAGAAATAGTCATTTCCTTGTTTAACTTTATCTTTCACAAGTCCAGTGTGAGAACCATTTGGTCCAGTTAGATTTATCTTCTTGCTAGAATTTCATTCTCCTTTTTTTTGTTGTTGTTTTTTTGTTTTTTCCATTGAGGCCCAGTTCACTTTTCACCTCCTCCGGTAAGCTTTCCTAGTTCTAAATTGCTCCACAAGTTATTGTCTCCATTGCTCAAGGCAGACAATATTCTGCCTGGTGACAGCTTTTATGTAGCAGTTTTCTCCTAGTATTGATTTTCTATTCCCCTTATAGTAATTTTTTCCTCTTGCTTTATATTATAGCGAATCACGTGCGTGTGTTTCTTGTCCACTAGGTAACAAGCTTCATAATAAGATCTGACTCTTAATTGCATTGATTCATTCATTCTACAGATATTGAGTGAGGGCTGACTAACAAGCTCCAGGAATTGTTTAAGCAATGGGGGTGCAGGAATGAACACAACAGACAGTCACTGCCTTCGTGGAACTTAAGTTCCAGTGGGAGAGAGAGAAATTACGTGAATAAATAAATATGTCAAGGTGAAAAGTGCTAAGGAGAAAAGAGAAGCGGGAGAACCTAAGGGGTGCTATCTCAGACATACTTTAAATATATGTCTCTCCTTTATGCTCTGCTTCAGTGCTCAATGCAGAGGGCACTGGGTACGTACTTGCCGAATCGCATGGTCTACCCAAATAGATACTATTTGATTCCCTGCTAGTGAGACACTACTCAGCATACACCTTCCTTCTGGGAAGGTGGTTATAGGAATGCAGATTTTAATCCTTTGCTGCCAGGAGCACACCTTGGCTGTTCTTCCCGTTATCAGTAGATGTACACTCCGGGCATGATAAAATTGTAATACTAGCTTTAGTAAGGCATAATAAGGGAGGAAACGTCTGCTTCCTAGCACCATATTTATTCCATAGTCAAATGGAACCAATTTGGCATCATCTTTCCTCCTGCACTTCTTCATCCATCAGACCAGTGGAAGGTTCACTTTTTGCAGTATTCCTAACTGTGGTGGTATTGAATTGTGGTTACCAAGAAGACCAATCTCCTCTTTTTAATTTTTCCAGCCTCCAGGAAAGAATAAAATCCCTCAACTTGTCACTTAAAGAAATCACTACTAAGGTAAGTACCTTTATACTCCCATTTTCCAAAAAAGCCTATGAAGCTTTCCTTTGACTTGATTTTACGTCTAGATCATAGGATACCTAGCTTCTGCAAAAACACGTAGACTTTGTCAAGCCATTTTGCAGTCCCAATGATGAGTTAAAAGAGCCAGGAGAGAGTGCTTCTGCCATAGTGGAGGTCTCGACTTGTGAACACCCCAGAAATGGACTGGTTTGGTCTTTGCTACAAAAGAAGCTGTCAATTTAGCGACTGGAAAAGGACTGCCACTATGCATATTGAAACCCTTTGCTTAAAGATGCATTCGGGGCTGGGTGCAGTGGCTTACGCCTGTAATCCCAGCACTTTGGGAGGCTGAGGCAGGCGGATCACCTGAGTTCAAGAGTTCGAGATCAGCCTGACCAACATCGTGAAACCCCATCTCTTCTAAAAATACAAAAATCAGCTGGGCATGGTGGCGGGTGCCTGTGATCCCAGCTACTCGGGAGGCCAAAGTAGGAGAATCACTTTAACCCAGGTGGTGGAGGTTGCAGTGAGCCGAGGTTGCACCATTGCATTCCAGCCTGGGAGACAGAGCGAGACTCCATCTCAAAGAAAAAAAAAATGCTTTCAGGATAGTAGTAACTTGAGAAATTAATTACTTTTCTTCCCAGGAGGGCAATGTCTAGTTTCCTCACAAATGAAACAGTCGGTGACTGTTTTTTGTTCTTTAAAGCTTTTCAGTTGGCTTGACAATCATTTTGCCTACTTTATACATCGTTTATACTGCCATAGCAAGACCTTGATTTGTGTACAGACAGAATATGTCTTCATTATTCCCTGGGAGCATGGTCAATTAATTTAAATAGTCAATGTCCTCATTAGTTAGGATAACCACAGTTTACAAAACAAAAGCCCTTCTCATATATATTTATACCTGGCCAGGTTATTGACAGACTGAGAAAGAGGATCAATTACTCTGTGAATTATGACTAAATGTTGTGGCAGAGAACTGGGTATGAATCATTCATTATTTGCAGTAGGTCTGGGAACCAGGGGTGGTTGTACGATGGTCGAAATGTAAAAAGGACAGCTTGCTGAGCAGAGAGCAATGCAGCCAAGAGCCTGTTGGCCTGGAAGGACTCTCTTCCAGTCTCTGTGCCCAGGGAAAGAAAGTCTTGGACCCTGGATCAGGAAACACGCCAAGGGCTCACCGCAGCTAAGCCAAAATCGGGGATGTGTTGTTGGCAAAAATGTCTAGAGTTACTCTGTGCATTTTCTCCGTTTCTGTATCGAATTTATTTCTGAAAACAACACCCAGTGATTTTGCTAAAGGTCACAGAGCCGCAGGTTTGATGGGTAATTATAACTTGCATACAAATAGAGCTTCCTGTTAGGAACAAGTGGTGCCCATAAGACAGCATCGGAACCAGGGACCCAGAAATGCCTGAATTCTGCTCTGCTCACCCAAAGGCTCTACCACCCAGGCTGGAGTGTAATGGCAGGATCACAGCTCACTGCAGCCTTGATCTCCTGGGCTCAGGTAATCCTTCTGCCTCAGCCTCCCAAGTAGCTGGGACTACAGACATATGCTGCCTTGCCCAGCTAAATTTGTTTGATTTTTAGTAGAGACCAGGTTTTGCTAGGTTGCTCAGGCTGGTCTTGAACTTCTGAGCTCAGGCGATTCTCCTGCCTCAGTCTGTCAAAATTGGGATTGCAGGCAAGAACCACCGCACCTGGCCTCTCTTACATCTTCTACTGTTTATTAGGTGCATCCTGATTTCTGTGTAGAATTAAAAGATAGGAGAACTGTCTTGGGTCTGAGTTTATTGACTATCTTCAGAACATACTGTATAGGTAACATGAATGCATCTGTACACCAACACTGAGGATACAGGTGTGCCTATTATATAATGCAGATGGTGCTTATATGTGTGTGTTTATGACACTGTGTATTGTGGATACACACATATACTGATATGTACTCAGTACTAGGATTTGTTGAAAATCTTGAACTACTATTAAAGATCTTAGATTTTCCCAAATATCAAAAATGGTTTGCTTTGTTTGCATACAGTCTTACTCCATTTGGGTTGTTATAACAAAGTATCATAGACGGGGTGGCTTATAAACAACAGAAATTTAATTCCCATTGCTTTGAAGACTGGAAGTCTGAGATCAGGGTTCCAGCATGGCTAAGTTCTGGTGAGAGGCCCTCTTCCAGGCTGCAGATTGACTTCTTGTTGTATTCCTGCATGGAAGAAAGAGGGCAAGGCGGGGTCTCGGGTTTCTTTATAAGGGTACTAACCCTTCATGGGGGCCCCACCTTCATGATCTGATCACCTCCCAAAGGCCCCACCTCCTAATGCCATCACCTTGGGAGTTAGAATTTCAACCTGTGAATTCTGGGGGGACAAAAACATTTCCAACCATTGCATATACCTTGTCTAATACATTTAAAACACTTTATAATTACTTTGCTTTTCCATAAAATTAAGGAACTCATGTCTTTGATTTTAAAATGTAAACATAAAAGCTCCATTTGATAATGAGTTCCTTGGTGTCCAATTTTATTTGTAAATAAAAAGGATACACAGGTTTTCTGGGGATGTGTACGTGTGTGTGCAGAGTTGGATAGGTATGTGTGCACAGACATGAATGTGTGTGTGTGTGTGTGCTGTGGGAAGGGGGTTATATTAGTCCACAGAGAATTAAAACAAAACTGTCCAGTCATACAAAACACCTTTCTCTTTACTTTAAACTAGATTGACTAGTGACCATGAGCTAAAGGTCTCAGACTGACATAGCTTTCTTTCTCTAGTGTGTTAGATACACACACACACACACACACACACACACACACACACACACACATACCCCTACCTGATATTCTTTAGACTCCTGTCTCAGAAAGAAACGAAACCTTCCTTGCACTCATTACATTTCTTAAACTCTTATGGGTTACCCAAACCAAAGGTAATTAAGGGATAAATGAGATGGAAGAAACAGTTGGAAATAAATGGGATATCTGGAGATTGGTAGATATTAGATTACATCCAGCAGAGCCTGAAAGAGTGAACACTGCAATTTAATAAGAAGATTCAGAAAGGTTGTTTTGTATTAATATCGACAGCTTGAAGGATAGATTTGCTCAACAAAGGAGAAACTGACCCAATTATGATTAACAGATACTGTTCACTAAAATCAAAAATATTGGACATAGATTGGATGAGACACAAGAATTATGGCTGGTGTTACAGAGTTAATGGAAATGCCCTCAGACCTCAGATGACATTATTAAATGGATACGATGGGATGTGCCAGTCATCTGGGTTTGAGCCAAACTCAGACTTGGTGCTGGGGGAAGGGATACCTTCCTTTTAACTCTGGTTCTGACATCCTGAAAAGTCTCAAGATGTTGAAAGGGTCTTGGAATTAATTACTTTGGACATGTGGATGCCCAACACCACCAGTGCAGGCTTTGTTTAGAGGCTACCAAACTGTCGTCTTCGTCCAGAGAATGATTTTTATAAAAAAGATGTTGGAAAATTATAGCCACTGAATAGAACATATGGAAGTCCATGAGAGAAACAGTGGAGTTCTTATTTTAGGCAGGATGGATGAGGTCTGCTTTGACTCTAAAAATAATCTCAATTCAAACTGATATAAGAAAACATTTAAAGTTGATGGTGTCCAACAAAGCCTAGATTCTTCTGGGAAGTTAAATTTTTCTAGGTAGCTCATTAATCTGAGTCTAGATATCATTGGCATATGAAAAGTCTTGAGACTGCTGAAAGGGTTGAAAAAGGGAAAAATGTGATGTTTTAGCCTCCAACAAAATAAAAGATAACCTAAAGACATTTGGAAAAAGAAATTAAGATTTAAGATTTTTGCTGTTTTTGAAAAGCCAAAGAAAAAAACTGTAGGATGTGTTTGGAATGTTATGGGAAAATACATGATAAAACCCTCAAACCTCACTGAGAATTACTTGTCTATTTTTCAAATCTGACTTGCCAGCAAGTATCTATCTGCCTTCAAAGTTTCCCTAAACAGTGTCTATTAATACTAGTAATTAAATTTAGCTTGCAGCTTTGACCTTCATCTCAATGGCCGTATCTTTATTCACTGCATACTATGTGCCAGGCACAGAGCAAAGTCCCTGCTCACATAAGCTCGTATCCCAGCAGACAGACAACGTGGAAACAAAGGAATAGAAGTACATAGTGTGTCATCTGAGCGGAAGCTGTGGAAAAACATCAAGCGGAGGGAGGGCCAAGGGAGGCTGCTATTTTGGGTGGGTGATCAGCAAAGCCTTTCCTCCCAGGCAGCGACTGAGCAGAGTCCCGAAGCGTATGAGTGAGCCAAACCACCTGGGGCTACGAAAGTGATGCAGACAGGAGGATTCGGCAAAGGTCTGGAGAAGGCAGGAGGCAGGAGTGATGCAACTATGTTAACCTGTGGTTGCTCTCTGTTGGATTAGCTCCTATCGGTTTTGTAATTGAGTGTGGGTGATGGGCATATGCTTGGAATACACCATTGCTCACTTTATTTTTGTTCTTTTTCTTCCATTTCCCTCCTTCCCATCCCTTCCCTTCCTTCCTTCCCTTTTTCCCTGTTTCTTCCTCCCTCCCTCCCTTTCTTCCTTCTCCCTTCCTCTCTCCCTTCTTCCCTCCCTCCCTTCTTTTCTTTTCCGTCCCTCCCTGACTTCCTTCCTCCCTTCCTTCCTCTCTCTCTCCTTCCTTCCTTCCTTCCTTCCTTCCTTCCTTCCTTCCTTCCTTCCTTCCTCTCTCTCCTCCTTCCTTCCTTCCTTCCTTCCTTCCTTCCTTCCTTCCTCTCTCTCCTTCCTTCCTTCCTTCCTTCCTTCCTTCCTTCCTTCCTTCCTTCCTTCCTTCCTTCCTTCCTTCCTTCCTTCCTCCCTCCCTCCCTCCCTCCCTTCCTTGTCTTTCTTTTTCCATTTCTTGCTTTTTGAGCATTATCCTCCAATTACTCTTCATCACCCCTTTTAATTACTTACAAATCCAGAAATCTCTGACCTGGCTGTTCTACTGCCTTCTGATTTTTAGCTGAATAAATGATGATTCCTGGCCATTTCTCTCCCCCTAGGTGTGTATGAGTGAGAAATTCTGCAGCACCCTGAGGAAGAAAGTTAACGATATTGAAACCCAACTACCAGCCTTGCTTGAAGCCAAAATGCATGCCATATCAGGTAACTGGCAGTGTAGGAGATGTTGAAGCTGTCCAACTAAAATAATGACAGCCACCAGCGCACCGTGTTTTGCCCTCGATGAACATTCCACGGTTATTATGTCATTCTCAGACATCTGAAAGCTTTTCTGGGGAGTTTCACTAATGTACACATAATATAGCACAAGTTGTTTATCTGAGTACCGCATTTGGGACTTCCAGTTCCTGTTTCTTGAAGAGTTTAGAGACTGAATGTACTCTGTGTGCCATATGATTCTAGCAGATGTGTATGTAGTATTGTGTATCTGTAAACACTGAATGAGGATTATTGGGTGTGCTCAGACCCTTCCTGTGGGGGAAGGATGGTAGCATGAGACAAATGGATGTCCTTGGTTTAAAAATCTAGTCACAGAAACTTGGCGAATCCCCAAAGGATTATGCTCCCTCTTAGTCTGGCAGTTATTAAGGAATTATTTTTCCATTAATTAGTAGCTTGAAAACAAGAGTCTCTGAAAACAGTATCTTATCCTATCATTTGAATAGTGCGTTCAAACACTCCTCTGTATTTGTTATTTTATTTTCACAATTACTGTATTAGGTAGATGGGAGAGAGACCGTGATCCGAATGGACTGATGGGGAGGTTGAGGCTGCGGGATGTGTCCTTTGGTTAAGGTCACTCAATTAGCTCAGCAGTGGCTGACCTGGGGCTAAAGTCCAGGCCCTCTCTTGGTGTATTATATACGGATATTTAACCCAGTTACATAATGACAGCTTCAAAAAGTTCTCTGAGTTTTGTAGGTTGAATGGACCCATAGCTCATCAGCTTCAAAAGAATCATGAAAATTTAACGAAAAGGTATAATAATTACATGTGTGGGTTTTAAATGGTATTTTAAGAAGGAATACAATAATTGGCAGCTTCTGCTCCTCAGATCATTAAACAACTAATGTTGGCAGCTAATGAGCAATTTGGTCCCTGGTGCAGTCACGCGTATTATTTACAACCCGTAGAACATGGCAGTGCGAATGTGGGGCTTGGCTCTTAACAGCTTCACATGCCATTTACTTGAAATTATGAGCCCATTTGCTAAGAGAAAAAAAAAAAGAAGATTGAACACAGTCTTGCTTCTGAGTTAGGGTGTTTGCCTTTCTTAATCAATATATCTTTCCCAGGAATACAGGTGGATGAGTCTGTATTAAGCCCGAGGGAAGAAATGTATAATTCAGGCAGCAGAGATAGCCTCACTCCAGTGTGAACAATCTCTCTTCAGACTCCAGGGAAAATGCCTAAGATGGCATATTGCATATGGGGTAGGTTTCCTGTTTTAGCTCTTTGGTCAGCTGAGAAAATTGGTAAGGCCTGATCTGCTGAAGGATGACCTGAATTAACCCTCCTGGTAACTGACCTTTTGACCTCACTATTATCTGATTGCACTGTATGCTCTTTGGTGGACGGACCCTTCAGTCAATGGGTGATACTGGTGATAAGGTGGTTGACATTTTTTTGCAACTCCTGCATATAATGCTATTTCTGTTTCCTCCTATTTCGATACCTTCAGAATGGGCAAACCTTCACTCCATTAGGTAAGATTCTTAAAACCCCTATTGAATGGAGAGGATCTTGAGAGATGTCATTAAGATTCTTAGGGGGTCTTTTGTCTGTCTTCAAGTTTCTATGATTCTCTCTCTTAGATTTGTAGACCGAATGATATGGTTTGGCTCTGTGTCCCCACCCAAATCTCATCTCAAATTGTAATCCCCACATTCAAGGGAGGGACCTGGTGGGAGGTGTTTGGATCATGAGGGTGGTTTCCCCCATGCTGTTCTCATGATAGTGAGTGAGTTCTCTTGAGATCTGATGGTTTAACAAGTGTTTGGTAGTTCTTCCTGCATTCATTCTTCTCGCCACCTTGTGAAGAAGGTGCCTTGCTTTCCCCTTGCCTTCTGCCATGATTGTAAGTTTCCTGAGGCCTCCCTAGCCATGCAGAACTGTGAGCCAACTAAACCTATTTTCTTTATAAATTACCCAGTCTCAGGTGGTATCTTTATAGTAGTGTGAGAAAGGACTAATACATCCATCCTGACTTTGATCTATGGCCTGAGGCCCTTTCTTAATTTGAGAATCAGTCACCATTTGCAGAGAGCAGGAATAAGAAATCAGTTTCATTTTCAAACCTGGTCAGATCTAGCTCCTTTACATGTAACAGTTTATTCTTTAATTCATCTCTCTTCTCCTGCATTTCATCACAGGCAGTGACAGGAGGTCAGTGGGCACTTCTGTATTCTGCCTGGAAATTTCCTTGGATATATAATTACAATGATTAAGGACTCTTTTTTATATTGCCTCAGTTGGTAACTCAATGACTTTTTTGCCACTACAAGGATATTTTTTTTCTAGCTTCTGATATATTTTTCTTACTTTTTTTCATCCTTCACTGAGGCCCATGAGGCTTCTGCCTACTACCACGTCCCCAAACCAATGCCTTGATTTTAGGATATTTTTACAACAGCATTCCATATCCAGATACCAAAATCTGTTTTCATTGTCTACTGCTGCATAATAAATCATCTCAAGATGTTGTGACTTAAAATATGACCAGTTATTTATTTTGCCCATGGAAATACAATTTGGGCAGGGCTTGGCAGGGACAGCTGGGGTGGCTCAACTGGGGTGGCTCCCATATTTGGTGGGAGAATCCACACCAAATATGGTGCATACATATGGTCTGGCTGTTGAGTGCTATCTCTGTGGGCCTCTCTATAGGCAGCTTGGCTTCCTTACAACATGGCTGCTAGGTTCCAAGAGCGAGTGTCCCAAGAGAAAGGAAATGGAAATTTCTTATTCTTAAGGTCTGAATTCAGAATACTGGCATACATCTCTATTAATGTGTAGTAAGTGGCTCCCCAAACTTCATAGCCTGAAACAACAAACCTTTATCTCTCATAGTCTCTGAGAGACAGGAGTCCAGAGTGAATTAGCTGGGTGGCTCTGACTCAGGGTCTCATGAGGTTGCTGTTAAGACACACTTTGGAGCTGCAGTCATCTAAAGGCTTGGCTGGGGCTGAAAGATCTGCTTCCAAGCTCATGCATGTGTTGTTAACAGACGGCTTCAGTTCCTTGCCACAAGAGCTGTGCCATAGGACCTCTTGCAACATAGCAGCTGATTTCCTCAGAGCCAGTGATCTGAGGGAGAGAGAGCAAATAAGACAGAAACCACAGTGCCTTGTTAGGACTTAGCCTTCAAAGTCACACAGCATCACTTCTGCTTAGTGAATAGAAGCAAGTCACTAAGTTCAGCCCACAGGGAAGGGGAAGGAAACAGGTTTTACCCCAAAGGAGGAGTATTAAAGAATTTGGTGGGCATATTTTTATAACCACTGCAGTGTTACTTCCATTGTGTTTTATTGGTCCAGCATTCCTGGTGCGCTGATTCAAGGGAAGGGCCATTATGACAAATCTCAGTGAGAGATGTGTCAAAGAGTTTCAGTGCCATGCTCTAAAAAGTGACACAGGGCTTACTGAGACAGAAGGATTTTGAGAACTGAAGAGCTGGACAGAAAGCTTTTCAGTCAGAGGAAATGGCCTGTTCCATTTATTTACTGAAAAGAAAAATATCATTGAGCATCTATGAAGTGCCAGATCTGGTTCTAGGCACTACTGAGGATGCAGTAGAGAACAGGACAAGATCCTCCTTCCTTTTTTTTTTTTTTGAGACAAGGTCTTGCTCTGTTACCCAGGCTGGAGTGCAGAGGTGAGATCATAGTTCACTGCAGCCTTGAATGCCTGGACTCAAGCCATCCTTCTGCCTTAGCCTCTGGAGTCACTGGGATTATAGGCATCCTGGCTCAATGTCTCTTCTTTTTTGATAGCTGTGTTGTCCCATTGACCACAGTGGAGTGGGGCTAGATATGCCTGGGCTGAGTGTGGAGGAAAAGCACAACTATTTCTTCAGAAGGAAGAGCAGTCTAGATTGGCCCAGGTATAGGATTAGTATTGTGGTAGCTCTTCAAAGTTGGTTAGGACCAGGATACACAGAGCTCTGAATTGTAGGCTAAGGATAAGAGCATTTTAGGGAGCCATTACAATGTTTTAGAGGAGTACTGAATGACTAAAACCAGACTTTGGGAAGTGTGATCCAGCCATGTTGTACACAGAGGGGTGGATGTGGTAAGACCTCGGGAGTCATAGAATTAACTAAGATGTTAGAAATGAGAAAAGGAAGAAAAGTAGGCTAGTATAGGAAATCTACTACAGATAGGTAATTATTGATTTTTAGAAGAACCATGATGATACTGATGTATCCAGTTGAGTGTGGTGTAATACACATTAACAAAAGTAATTTAGAAAGCCCATAGTTTCTCTCCCTTTTCACTGACCTGTACACACCTTAAATGTGTTTTAGTCACCTCTTTTCTTTCCATTCTTTATTTCTGCTTCAATTTTCCTGTTCCGCAGAGAATAGTTTGGTTTAAAGCCGATAGCAAAAGTGGATTCTGTTGTTACTGTCCTTCCTAGATATCAGTCAGTTCTCACACTGCTGTAAAGAAATACCTGAGACTGGGTAATTTACAAAGAAAGGAGGTTTAATTGGCTCATGATTCTGCAGATTGTACAGGAAGCATGGCAGCATCTGCCTGGCTTCTGGAGAGGCCTTGGGAAACTTGCAATCATGGCAGAAGGTGAAGGGGAAACCAGCACGTCACATAGCCAGAGCAGGAGGAGGGGTGGGGGAGGGGCCACACACTTCTAAATAGCCAGACCTTGCGATAACTCACTATCGTAACAACGTCGCCAAGAGGGATGGGGCTAAATCATTAATGAGAAACCGCCCCTATGAGCCAATCACCTTCCATTGGGTCCCACCTCCAGCATTGAGGATTACATTTCAACCTGAGACTTGGATGGGACACAGATCCAAACCATATCACTAGAGAAGGAAAATACAGCCCTGAGCTCTATGCATACTGACTTGGAGTGAGAAACTCACCAGGGCAGACAGATTTCTCAGTGTTTGAGTGCAG